CTGAAAAAAAAAAAAAAAAAAAAAAAAAAAAAAAAAAACAGTTAAGATGTTTTTTTTCTCTATTGCTGTTTATTTGCATAGAAATCTGCTGCTAGTTTCAAGGCCACTTTCTGTATCAAGATGTATGAAGTCATATCTAGCAATGCTTATTCACTTATTCGTTCTGTTATGGATTAAGAGCCCTCTGGGTGTCAGGCCCTGTGCGAGCCCTTGGAAAGGCCCACGATGGGGTAGATGGGCCCCAAGCTCACAAAGGTCTTGGTGGATGAGCACAGCAGGTGTGGAACACATAACCAGCACAGTGAGGTGACTGTTGTTCCAAACAGGTGCGCGGTGCATTGGGGATCTGAGGTTGACCCACGGAACTGACATTTGTGCTGAGACCAGCAGAAAGATGGAGACACTGTAAAGCATTGTAAACATCACACACAAAGCCCAGAAATGTGAGTGCATTACATTCAGTACAAATTCATACATTTTCTTAATTTTCCATGAGGAAACAGATATTTCCCATTCACAATCATCAAAGCTTTTACTCCAGGGAAGTACATTCACTGTGAAAAACTAAATATTTTCAATCGCATATACCTTTCACAAAATTTCTTAAGTGCATTATTGTGTTGTTGCTTCTCTAATAATAGAGAGAATTTGAATTCAAGAGACAGAAATATAAAAGCTAAAGACTTGTGACTGTTTTCAAAAACAAGGGAGATAGGAGTGATGTCTGGCTCCTTTTTCTACGCAGGGCACAATCCCACCGATTTTTACTCCCTTCCAATGATGGCTCACAGAAGCAGGTGTCACATATTTATTCAGCCATCTGGACAGGTCCTCTTCCTCCTCTTCCTTGGGGAGAAGGCTGACAAGCCTCCAAAGGGTCAGGAGAGGAGAGATACACCTAATGTAAATGCAGAATCAAAGAGCTAAGGGTAATGGAGATTTCTTTAAAGAGCAGCAGAGAACAAACAAGGATGTCAGGAAAAAGATGAAAGCCAAAAAGAAAGTGGTAATAACACTTGAAGAACACCATATGGCAGTTATATGTCATGCTTTTCATTTTAAATGTTGATATTTGCCTTCTTGTTAGCCCCAGTGCCAATTCTGTTACAGTACTTAGTAAAAAGTTCATCTTTAAAAAAGAAATCATACTGAAGCTCCTTGCACTCCATTCCTAAAATCATACCCCCCAAAAAAATCCTTTTGCTTTTTTAACTGCATGGTACACATCCATTTCTAACTGTTCTAACTAACCTGCAAAGCAGTGTCAGAATTAGTAGAGAAAGTCCTAATGTGAGGACCCCCAAGATACTTCTTTGCACCAGTCAGCAGTGAGAAAGGCCCCAGGGGTGATGGTATGAATTAAGCGACAGCTAAATATTAATGATGATTGTTGGGATATGAGTCCTCTCAGCCATTCTCCAGGCTCATGCAGAAAGACAATTGATATTGTTTACTGCAAAACCTTTTTCTGCCAAGGAATGGGAAAAGCTAACAGAGGGGACACTGCTCAGTCTAAGAGAAGAAGTAATGGGAACGACATACTCTAAAAGAGAGAGGTGGCATTTGAGCTCCGCCAAACTCATCTGCCCACCCTTGCTGAGATGTGAAGGACCAGGTATCTTTGGGGAGGAGAAGTCTGTCTTCTTTTGGAATCTTTCAGGACATTCCTGATGCTTTCCAAAAAAAAAAAAAAATCCAACCAACCCAAGTGTTCTAGATTTAGGAAGAGCATAAGCAAGCTGAGATGCGATTCGCATATTGCTGAAATAAATTCTTTTTCATTAGTTGAGGGTTTTTTCCCCCCCTCTCTTTTTCTTACTAGAATCTCTGTGGGCGGTATAATATGTGCAGAAACAATAATTGGAGCCAGTGAAGTGCAGCCCAGGTCGGAGAGCACAGCCTTCCCCGCTGGCACCAGCAGAAGGGCAGGGCCATGCTCAGTGGACTCCGGAGAAGCCAACCGACCAACCCCAACCGAGCAACTGGCCATCTGTATTCCTCCCTTCTGTCTCTGACATTCAAAGGGCTCACTGAGTCATAGCTAATGCAGCTCCTCCTCAGGCAATGACTGATGACTGGGTTTTTTTCCCAGACAGGACGACATGCTGCCTCCTATCTGCTGGCTTCCACCTCTATTGCCGGCCTTGCGGTAGCACCCTTCACTTCTCCAGCCCAGTGCACCCCTGCTTCCACATCCAGGATGGGCAGGACAGAAGGTGACACCAGCATGCATCTCTGTTTCCTTCAGGTCTGTTGGAAATACCACAGAGTCTACACTCCCTGGAGGGGAGGATAAGAATCTGGCTCTTGACTTTTGCCTCCCAACCACTTCACAAGTGCTTAACACCCAAAGGTAGTGGGGGGGGCAGGACATAACAGGCACTTAACACTTAGCTGCAAGGCCCTATGCTTTACCTGAGGGCTACAATATATTAAGAGAAGACAGGTGTTTGATGTGCAATGTGCAAGCTAGAATTCACAAGCTCCTCCCTTGGGGTCCAATCACTAATAAGGTGCTAGTGTAGCAGTGAACAGTGCTTACTGAAGGCTGTCTTTATGCCATGCACTGCTCATTTACATCAACCAGGGAGCTAAAGAGACAGGTGCTAGAATAAAGAACCTGAGCGCAGCCAGAGCTCACAGGGCTGGAAAGTGGTTCCTGCTTAAGTACTAAGGCAGTGGTCTGCATGACATTATAGACACTGGTCTTATGCATGTCTGTTTCCTCCTTGAGAAAAAACACAGTCTCTGTTTACTGCTAAGTGTCCCCATAGTGCTGAGAACACAGTAGGTATTATTTGATAATTGCTTATTAAAAATGACTTGGAGAGAGATATGAAGAGCAGTCACAGTGGGGAGGGGGCTTGGGAGTGGATCACTATGAAATGAATAAAAGGATTTCAAAGTCAAAAAAGAGGCCTGGTGGAAACTGGATGTCATCAATATGCAGAGACTCACGTCTGCCTGGCATGGAGCTGCCCTGCCTCCCACCAGGGAAGCCAGGACAGGAACAACACAGGGAGGCAGCTGGAGGTGAGGGCAGGTGTAAGAGCGAGGCAAGGCATGGGGCATGGCCCCTCCACTGTGCTCCCACAGTGACAAAGCAGCAACTGGGAGGGCTGGGCCAAGGAGGCAGTCAGACCGTAATGTATCAGGCACTGTCTTTGTGATTTATAGAGTTAATTTTTTTTTTTTAAAGTGTCTGCCAAGAAACAAAGAAACAGGAACTGTGTGCATTGCTGGTAGAAATGTAAAATGGTACATCCACCGCAGAAAAGAGCAGGGCAGTTCCTCAAAAGAAGCAAATCTATAATTACCATGTGTTGCAGTAATTCCATTTATGGGTATATATCCAAAATAATGGGAAACAGAGAGTCAAATGGTCATGTATATATATCTATGGTCACAGCAACATTTCTGACAAGAGCTGAAAGATAGAAACTACATAAAAGTCTGTGGACAAATAAATGGATAAACAAAATGTATATGCATAAAATGGAATATTACTCAGCTTTAAAAAGGAAGGGAATTGTGACAGGTGCTAAAACATCTCTGAAGACACCATGCTAAACACAGTATGCTGGACCAAAACTACAAATGACTCCACCTACTGGGTACCTAGAGTAAGTGGTCAAATTCATAGACACAGAAAGTAGGATGGTAGTTGCCATGAGCCAGAGGAAAACAGGAGCCTGGGGAGTTGTCGTTTAATGGGTACAAAGTTTGATTTGGGGATAGATGAGAAAATTCTGGAGGTGGATGGTGGTGATGGTGGTACAGC